TTCCCTAAATATATATGGGCTCAATAAAGCAAGCAAAGATGCACAATTAATTTTTAAAGGGTTACATGTCTAATGTGGGCAATTACATGCCTAATTTCCACAAGTTTCTATGACTACGTGTACAATTTGAGTGTAGAAATTTCAGATGGTCAGTTGTGAACTTAAAAGCCATTCGCACAACCAAAGAGCCGGGCTGTATTGCATAAGCAACTAGTACTCTCTCTGTTCCTTCCCTCACACACGCTGGGGCTGATGCCTTTTCCTCAATCTGATGTGACACTTAAAATATAGTTATTCAAACTGTTGCCACTGTATTTTCCTTATTTCTGATATTTCATACCAAATGAAGGAATAGATGATACTGTGTTTTGTCCAAGTAATTCATAGCAATACCTTGAAACACTGCTGTGATGCTGGATTTTTGTCAGATCAGCTGCCCACTTTGCAGCAGAGGATTATTTATATAGTTTATATAGCAATTTGAATTTAAGCATTAATTGTATGTGCTGCTGAATACCATTTATATCTGAATACCCGATTGGTAGACCCAGTCCAGACAGAGCACTATTCGCCAACATTTGGCAGTTTGTAACAACTTTGTTATTTGCTGATGCAAACTGCGAGTCTGAATTTCAAACTAGACTCATACCAGTGAAACATGCCTGCCGTCTAACAGGCATGCTAGAATTCTGTCCGAGGCAAGATTTCAGCCTGTTTTTCAAGATTTCCTGTTCCCTTTTGTTTGACCTTTCGTTAAAGATGCACCTGTACTTGGCAACATATATTAGCTGATCCCTTGGGTAGTCACAACAGCGTTCATTGGGGTTCCTTCATGGCGGAGGCAGCCTTCTGCATCTATGACAATGACTTCAGCTTCATTCAGTTGCTGCCATATGGTCCAAGCTAACGCGGGAGTGACCTTTCCCTGCTAAACCCCTGCAGAAAATCAGATACACCGTCAATGTGCGGCATTTCATTGTGGACAGGGAGAGTAGAGGCAAAGGAAAGCCAAGTGATTGGTATAGACAATGGCTTTGTCTCACTAATAGGCCAGAGATACCACTGCATACCACAAGGAGCGGATAAAGAAAGGGCAAAGAAAGGCAGCTTGAAATGTGAGAGTAGATGGAAATTCTCTCTCCTTCACACACTGACCTCTTGTTGCCTGCTTGCTTGCTTTCTGCCCTAAAAGAAACCGGGCTGAAAAAAAAGCAGATGGGGAGCCTTCTCATTCCTTGATAATTGGCCTTTTCAGACACAAAGATTAAACCCTGCAGCCGCAAAGACCATCAGTTCTGCTTGTATTTTTTCCTTGCACTTTTATTGTGTTTCTCCCTAGATTTTAAATATAGTTTAACTAACAATCATGTCAGCAAATTAAACCATTGAGTCTCAGTAATTATTGCAATAAATTCATTCAAAATTAGCGATTACTGCAATCAAAGACCAGTTTCTTAGCCCATTAACAGCCCAAAGCAAAGTGACAATTTGGTTAACTGCTGGTAACAACCTATTTCATGGAGGTTATTGTTAACATACATGCTTTGGCGTAAATCTGAGGGAGGTAACATTGCTAAATAAATTATCAGCTTAATTCCTGCGAAAACTCATAGGATTAAGTGGGCAATAGGGAAAAAAAGAAAAAAAACAACAGTATTGTTGGTTGTTTTTTTTTTTACATTTGAGTTATGTAGAAAAAAATATCCTCACATGCATTTGCCGTTGTGGTTAAGTCTTCCACCCACAGAATGACTCATGTGCTAGAGCTGAGTAACTGCACCTCTATCTTCGTTTGCCCCATCTTATATTTGAGCCCAAAGATGAAGTGAACTGGTGAAGTTTTAAGTAGTGAAGTTTTAACCATGGTACCTGCAGCCTTCTTAATTTTTTCTTGTACTACTCTCTTAATCCCTCCACCTCCGTGTAGCAGCTGAGGAATGTTGCTTCAATTGCTTTATATGTGCCTTAAATGTCCCCAGGCAGTGGCAGACTCTGTGCAAGGGACAGTGTCTTGCATTAGCCCTGGCAATAGCCAGGAATGTGCTGAGGAGCCTCACTAGTGGTGCAGGGTCAGATCCTAAAGGGGACTTGGCCAATGGCTCACATTCAGTTTTTCTTCAGATGCTTTTGAGATAGATCTGCCAGACTCGGTTACTCTTCCCTTTGCAAAGGTGTATCAGGGAGAAAGAAGAGCTCCACACACCTCTGTGCACCGGGGCACGGGGAGCCACTTCGGTCTGTGCTCCCACCCGTATATGCACATTCAGGGTTCCCTGTGTAGGACGCTCATTTGGGAGGCAGAGGGTTTGGATTCTGCTCCTGGGTGTTTCATTAACTGTGTCTGCTTTGCCTCTGTACAATCCAGTAACACATGCATGTTTTCTTGGGCTAGTGCTTACCCTCCTTTGGAAAACTTTCCTCTGGAAAAAGTTCAGAGTATTATGTGCTATAGCTATGGTAACTTGTCTGAGTTCCAAAATGCCCTTTGGGGGTAAGAAAGCTAACAGATGGGGCTTTGAGTGAGACCTTTTCGGAGGACATGTTGCAGGACGACATGTGCATAAAATCAGTCTCCTCAAAGAACTGCCAGTCTCCTCCAACCTGGTTGCTTTCCTTTGATCTTCTTCAGGCCCTTGTGTTTTCTGAGCAGGACTGCATCTGTACCAGTCCTACTGTAAGGCAATACAAATTCTGTGCTCGTTTTATTTCTTCAGTCTGAAGATCTTTAATATCAGAGAGTTTCAAATAAGATATTTTTGACTCTGCTTCAGTCGCATTAAGAGTTTTGAGTAGAAGAGCTATAAAACCTGAAACATGGGGAGTTTGTTTGATTTCACTCTGTGATTTCACAGATAGGCTAAAATATTTTTGTATCACCGAAGGTCCAAAGTAGGGGATTGACCAAAGCAGGTGTAGATATTGATACTGTTGGTGAAACTGCAAAAGTGGCCAGACTGGAATGAGAGCGAGCTCCAGAATGAGAAGGAAGGAAACTTGGGTTGCCTTCTCCTCTTTCCCTGACTGAAAGTGACTGGGAACGAAACATAAATTCTTGTTGACTTAATTTGTTATTGAAATTTTAGTCAATAATCATGAAAAGTAAATGATCGTGTAGTGCAATATTAGATGTCTAACAAAAGATTAAAATTCAGGTTATCTTCATTGACGGAGCTAGGACAGTACCTAAAATAAAAATCTATGAGTAGATTAACATGTTAAACAGTCAGTGGGGTGTTGGGTTTTGGTTTTTTTCTTTTTTTGATGGATTTGAGGGGAGAAAGGTCTAGCAGGTTTTTTTGGTTTTACTGTGTATCACAGCTGCCATTGCTAGCCAGCTAAGAATTTCTGTACATAAAACAGACAATAGATTATCATATTACTTGAGCTTTCATGTCAAAACCACATTCATTTTCTGAATCACGTTCAATTCATCAACCAACATTTGCTCAAGGGCTTTTGCCAGCTACAATGTATCATTTTAATATAGTGTTGAACATTGGTTTTATTCTAGAGGTCAAATAATTATTATCTTGTTATTGTTATGGTTATCATTTTGTAGTTGTTATAAATTATTTTTTTTGTTCACATGGCATGTGCTATTAAGTTTTTTTGCAAAGGTTGCTTATGTGGGCTCTAATCCACCTCTTAAAAAGATGCTTAATGTTAAACACATAAATAGCCATACTTGATGTCAAAGGAACTAACCCCATGCATAAAACTTTCCAGCACTTTGCTGAGTCAGAACCTCTATGACCTCTCAAATGAAGACTGACTCAAATTAGCATTTAAATTGAGTGCAATTTGTACTAATGCACTGGAAGTTGTCCTCCAAAGCAGGAGGTTTCTGCAGCCATTGAAAAGGCAGAGGTAGCTCTCCTGTTTTCACTGCTTGTCCCCTTTTGACTTAGCTCCTAGGACATGAGGACTGCAGGACATATTTGAGGGTAGAGCTGGCTTCTCAGTAAATAAAATCTAGAGCTTTGTTCTATGGACAATTACCCAAGGTTCTTGAAATGCAACTGTTTTTTATGTGTCCCAGGAGCAGCGGTAGCTCAGTGAAGAAGGTGGCAAAGAAAAGAGAAGAGAAGCTGTTCCCTCCTCCATTATCCCCCCTCTTGGACGAGCCTGTGCACCGGCGGCACAGCAGTGACAACAGCTCCTTCAGCCAAGAGACCAACATCACAAACACCTCTCAGACCAGCAGCTCTTCCTCCTCTGTTTCTAAACACAGAAAGAATGAAAATAAATCCTCTTCTAACCCCAAAGGAATCTGTGTAAGTAACCGACCTCAGTTGCTGGAAGTGAACAAGATAAAATAAAATTAACTTAGCTTTGTTCTGTTTGATTCCCCGCCCCCCCCAGTGTCTATTTTTAAATGCTTATGTAGCCCTACTCAAGAGCAGCAAGGAGTGGATCTTTGCAGAGCTGAGCACAGGCAACTCTTGCAAGTTCCATTTTTAGGTCAGCGTTAGGCATCTACTTGGCGTTGTGTATCACTCCCTGAAACACCCGCTCCCAGAGCCTCAGAAGAGAGCCTTTGCAGCCACCAACTAGCCACAATCAGTCCCTTAACTCCGTAGCTACAACACACGCATTCTGAAAATAAAACATCAAGAATTTTGATATCCATCACCTGAATAATTACCCCAGATTCTCAGCCAGAATTAAGCACTGTAGTTATACTGAATATTGCGGCCCGAACTAAACAGACAGTAAAAATCTAACAAAAAGCTACCTGTCCATAGCACACTCAACATGGAAATATCTTCTCTTAGGTTTGCAGGCTCCCAGCTTCCAGCACTAAGGTTTATTTACACCTAATCTCCATGAATTAAATATGTAAGCTTTTAGATACCATGTAAATAGAGGGTTTTTTTTCCCCTAGAAAACATCGTTCTGTTAGGGCCACCTCCCCATCAAAGGTTTTCACATAGACAATTCTTGCTTGCTTGCTTTTCACCAGATTCAAATGGTTTTTTTTACTGAAAATACAGGAAAAAGAGTCAAAACCAGAAGCTGCACAGCAAATTCACTAAAAAAAAAAGTAAAATTTTGCATCAGTTTGTCATCCTCTTTTAGAGAAAACAGGGAAACTTCAGGGTTTTGGCCCATTTTAGAAAATAGTCTTCCCTCTAGAGTTTCAAACATATCATTTAGTATCAAACGGTGTCTTGGTATCACTGTCAAATTAAAAGACAAGAAAAAAATTCTGCCACAGAAAAGGACATGCGTAGCCTCATTTTTCACAGTTCGCCGCTTTGTGAGAGGTTGTTACCCTGCACTGTAATAGTAAAACTCACAAGTTGCATTGGATTGTAGGTGACAAATCACCTTATTCATTCATCCCTGTTGCTTTCTGATATCATTGTGTCACTTCAAGCTGAGAGAGTAATACACACGCCTTCAACTGAAATCAATGTCAAAATGAACTGTGTATGTCAGCAAATAAACAATGCTATGTAAACAGGAGGGCAACTTCCTCTCACTCCCAGCATCTCCAGCCAGATTTATCCTTGGTTTATCTATTATCCTGATACATGAAATATTTGTCTTCTAAAATCTGTTAGACTTCTTTCCCTCGTTCATTGGTTCATCTGTAATTTAGTTTACCTGGTTGTGGACCTAGCTTGCAAGTTGGAATTGCCCGATTTAAATACTTCTGTTTATGCTTCTGGTTTTAGTCAATGCAAAGTCACAACTCCTGACTTTTGCTTCTTCTCTCTGTTCTGTGTAGCAAGGGTGAGGAAACCGTTCCTTACTGAAATCCGAGCAGACTTTTCAGACACCTTACAGTTGGCTAATAATAATATAGAAAAAATTGTTACGTTTGTGTGATCTACCTTGAATGAAGTTGAGATTACATCCAGCCCTTCTTCATTAGATTTCCCCACCCTTGCTTTAACCAGCATCTCTAGCCAGTAATACGGTGGTATCCAGGCTGACTTCACCTAAGAGTGTAAGTTAATGAGTTCAGGTGAGGGGTCAGAGGTGGAGTCACATTGCCTGATTAATCTAATAGGCTCATGTTATGAAGGATGGAAGGGTGGTTTTGTGAGGTAACCTGGATGTAGTTGAGTATATATGAGTCCTGCTTTGTGTCTTGGCCTTTTGTTTGCTTGGGGTTTTTTTGGGGGTGGTGGATGTGAGCACTTGCATTGTTGGAAGGTGTTTGTTTGAACTATGAAGAGTTAATAACAGTCCTTTTTTTTCTAGGAGGAAGAATCTCACAACACACCAACAGCTAACACTCTTCTTGACACCAGCCATTTAGAAACAGACATCTGGTCTGCAATGCCAACGCTTTCCAATGGGAATTCTGAGCCCAGAAGACCCAAAATAACATTTGATGATGTGTGAGTATTATTGGATCTCTGGGCTAGCTGCATGTTGTGTAGTTGGGATTTCATGCACGCAGAGCTCCCAGTGAGAGAGAGTAGTATCTTTGATTATAAAGCTAGCATTGAGCACCTGTGTGGATAGTGTGCACGAAGGCACACACAGTTTTAATCTTTACAAATGAACTGTTGCTACTGATTAATGAAGACTCTATTGATAAATGTTTTCAGATCGTGAATGTCGGTTCACAGTAATTCTTCATTTTTTTACTTTAGCTTCTCTAATGGAAACTTCTTATACTTAATTAGTTTAAAATATTTTTCCTTTTCCTCTGTTCAGCACACATTAATGGGTCCTTTGGGGGGCCAGTTTCTACAGCTAGTTATTTTACATTCTGGTCACCCATCATATCTTTGCATACAGCAGCTTCAGATTAATATCAGGTAAGATTTAAAGAGATAAGTGGGCATATATGTCAAAATTGTTCTTGGAAGCAGTCAGCAATTTTCCCAAACAACGTTTGTCCAACTGTATGAAAACAAAGACTTGAAATAATTGATTTTGTCTCTTTAGGCTTCACAATGCGGATTATTACATGCAAGAGGCTAAGAAGCTGAAGCATAAAGCAGATGCATTGGTAGGTTATCACAGGTTTTTTTGTTTCTTTCCACTATGGAGCTCGGTGTTACAAAAATGTACATTCTGAATGTCATCCAAAGCCTCAGAAACCAAGAGGAGCCCTGCTATTGACTAAAGTATGCTTCAGATTGTACTCCATAAACACACAGTCCACAACAAGTCAAACCCTGAGCACCCTTCCTAGCCTTTAAGAATTCATTCCCAAAAAAAGAAGCTCCTTACAATAGCTGATATCTCTTCCAAGGAGGAGCAACAGTCATGCTGTTTATGAAGGATGTAAGATAATTTCATGAAAGATGATGTGTATTTGAGATTTGTTTTCCTATTCACTTTGAGACTAAAACAAAAGTGTTGAAATATTCCATAACAGAAAGTTAAGAAAGGCAAATCACCCTCCACCCCATTATCATGTGGTAAAACTGTTTGATATTTCCAATCCAATTGTTTAAAATTTCTAACAACTGATTTTTAAATAGTACATTCATTTTTATTACATGCTTTTAGGCTGGTAAATAAAGATTCAATGCGCTTCTTCCCAAAAAATCTTGCAATGAGGTAGTTCAATGCTGGGAAAGCTTTTTCTCTCATTTTACCCCAGATTCCAGTAAGATTGACCTAATTTTGCAAAGTGTTTTGATTTCGATAAAACTACTTAATCTGACAGATTATACTCTGTCATAGTTTGTTCAATCCAAGCTATTGCTAGCACTGAAGTGTCTTTAATAGCCATTTGCTTTGTAGTTAGGCACTTTGCTCCTGTAGTTAGGCACCGCAGAGTGCAGAACAGCAGCTCATTTAGGCAGGCTTAGTGGAACTTGACCCCTCTATTTATTTAAACTAAGATGTCTAAAATGGAGAGTGGCCATTCACTTTGCCCCTCAAAATCACAGCTGAAAAAGAACTGGGTGATTATTCACCTCTTGCTTTATTATTTGTGGGGTTTTTGCATGCATATTATATCATTCCACAGCAGAGATTTTTGTGCTTGGAAATAAGTGTTTGTCCAAAAAAAAAAAAACAAAAACAAAACAATCACATGCTATGTTTCTAAAAAACAAAACAAACAAATTTTAAAAATTGCACTCCTTTTGCTGTCAGTGAGCTGAAGGAGAGTTGACAATGTCAAGCTGCCTGCTTCAGCTCTCCAGGCTCCCTTTTGACTTGGGGCACAGTGTTACCAAGTGTGTTTTCTGTGGGAGGTGGGTTCAGGTTTTTGGCAACCCGCCGTGAGTGTCAGAAAGTTAGCAGTCGTCCGTCCTGACCTGCCCGTTTGCAGGAGGTGGCCTGCACTGATTCCTGCAGCCCGACTCAGCAGAGCATGTTCAGCCAGAGCCCTGACATCTGCACATGGGGAAGGCTGGCAGAAGCAGACTGACAACACCTCCCACAGCTGATTGACCTTTAAAGAAAATACACGTGGTTCTGGCACAGGGATGCCTGCTCCACGGTAGCAAATATTTACAGGCTCAGGCTCCTGATGATCTCAACATGCCATGTCAATCCACTTCCCTCCACAGCCTGATTCACTCAGAAAGTGTTGACCTGTCTCCCGTCCTCTTACCTTTGACTATGCCTTGCGGAATCAGGAGTGTTTCTCAAGCAGAACTAAGTGGAGCAGGCACGGCACATCATGCTGCTGCCTGCAGGCAGGCCTTGCCTGTCACATGCAGTTTGACACTCCGAGTGCTCTTATGGGAATGTGAGGCCATCCGCTACAATACAACTTGTTGGCAGACATAAATACCCATGAACAAAGTATCTGCTTTTTCTTTCCGCTATTTAGGTCTCAACTTTTTTTTCTTCCATCCAATACAGCTGCACACAAATTATCTCCATGTAACACATTTGCTGTGCAATCCCGTAGTGTTAGTTGTCCTATGGAAACAATTGCTTCTGGTTACTTGGTGCTGACATGACAAAGTACACACAGCATTGAAAGATGTGTTGCAGTGGCTAGAAAGATAATGCATGTGACCTCAAAATGTGTCAGCTAATGTTAATGAGATTTGTGGCAATGCTGTTCCTGAGCTTGTACGGAAAATAGATTTCTGGTGAAGGGCAGGGCATTTTGCATCTTATGGGAGCGACCCCATGAAAACCTATCCTTGTCTGGGACAACAGTAAGGAATCAGCTAATCTGGATGGGCTGCTGCAGTAGCAACTGACTGTACCATATGGAAGAGATCTTTGAGACCTTGCTGTGTTCTCGGCTGGGCTGTGATGAGCTGGAGTAGTTCCACCTACTCCACTAGAGTCAGTGTGGAGCAAAGGGAAGGACCAGATCCCATTTCTGGCTCAAGCTGTGTGTCTGCACTAAATCTGCTTGCAGCCAGATTCAGTTTTTTTATACCACAAAAAGTCATCTTTGGGAGACTTGAAGCAAGGAATTTGAAGAATATGCTGAGAAGTGGCCATTGGAATAGAGGGAAAACATTTAGAAATATTTCCCCTTTTGTGAGCATTCAAGTAATACCTATCAGTTATACAAGAGCTTTGTACATAAGCAATGCACAAGAGCAGAACTTGAAATTAAAGGTATGCAGAGGGAACTAATTATAAGGATTGCTTAGAAGTAGCCACAAAGGCAAACATTACCTTGGACCAATACTAAATGTTCTGCTTAATATGTTGCTAGGAAAAGCTTCCATTTTGTGAATGGAAAACATATGCAGATGCATCAAAAATATTTTGATAGAGACATACAAAGAAATTTTTAAATTATTTAAAGTATATTGGATCTCTTATATCAAATGCCACATTAGTAGAATTCTTACATCCAGCTATCAAAAATTGAAAATGTTAAATACTATTATAAAATACTTACTATAAAAATGTCATATATAATATTCATTACACATAAAAAAAAGAAATCAGTATGTCTAAGTCAGTTTAATCACAACCATTATGAGGGCTAAAACCTTTTGCAATAAAATCCTAGTAAAATAAAATATTTAGCGGTGCTATATTTTTCTCCCCCCTTTTTTTTTTCCTGCTCTTTCAGTCATCACATAAGTGATGAGATTTTTTTTTGGTCAACAGTTAAGACAGAATGTGATGTCTGACAAATGGCGTGGAGTTGTTACTTAGCCCTTGCATAGTGACATTCAAACTCAGTTCATATATCGAGGAGCAATATGGATTTTTTTCAAACATGCTTAGCGTCTCTCATTGCCTGTGTGAATCCACGCATGTCAGTGGACATACACTGACTTTCCTCTGTGGAGCACCTGGCCATATACTACCTGAAAAGGTTTGGTAAAAACATAGACCCTGCCTTAATGGCTGTATGAATTCATTCTTATCTACCAGCGTTGCTTTGCTTTCATCCTAATGCTAGTGTTGCTTTGTATGATGATCTGTCTACCTAGAAATTAAAGCTGAAGGATTTTCTTGACGGTGTCATTCCCATTTCAGCTGGAGAAGTTCGGCAAAGCAGTGAATTATGCTGATGCTGCCCTCTCCTTCATCGAGTGCGGGAACGCTATGGAGCGAGATCCATTAGAAGCTAAATCTCCATACACCATGTACTCAGAGACTGTGGAACTCATCAGGTTAATGTCCTTTCTGTGATCATTTTCATAATCTCATTTCAGTCATAATTAGAACCTGCTATGTTTTAAAAAATACCATTTCAACGTATTAATGATTTGTCCAAGGCATCTTCATCTCAGAAGTCATCATAATTAGTTCTTGCCATTTTATTAATGTCATGGAAAATTTATAATTGATGGACACTGCTTTTATAAATTATCCCCTTTAGAGGTTATAATGTGAGTGTTATAATTTGCAATATTCATAAAATTAAAATTGAAATGTAGTGGGTGGAAGTAAAGTATAGTAATTTCACTGTTTGGCAATGACACTTGTCTTTTAAAAGGTGTAGTTTTATAATTCAAAACATTAAAGTAAGTCTATCAGGATTTCTATTACAAACCCTGGTTTTAGAGGTTTATAACTTGGCTGTTAAAAAAAAAAAAGCTGAAACTTGGCACATAAGATCATAGCCACAGAGGAAGATTTCCATGTGTATTGTATTTAAAAAAGTATATTTTTTAATGTTAAAGGAATGTGAACCAGGTGAATTAGTTTTAATGCAGTTTTGTAGACTCGTAGTCTAGAATATGGATGAGAGAGACTTCACTTACTAACAAAATGTCTGAATTATTATTTTAAAATCTGCTACTGTTCCCTATAGCTGTTTCATAGTGTTGGCTCCATAGAAATAATGGTCTCCTGAGTAACTAAGGGCTTGTTTGCTTTACTTGCACAAATTATCAAAGTGAAATCAAGCAGGATTAAATTTACCTGTAAGTAGAACAATAGGATTTTTCCTCTTCGCTGTGATGCACCTTTGCTTTCCCCAGTGTATGCTGGGAATATCACCATTAATGTCTGTGTAATTACTGGCAGTTTACACAAGAGAAAGAAAAGGAGGCAAATCAGGCCCTAAATGTTTGGTTTTTAATATGACAAAGGTGTCTATTTAATGTGCAGAATTTTAACGTGCCAGATTAGCTATTAGGGACTGCCAAAAATAATGCATGTTTTACATTTTGAATAAGTAGGTATTTACATAATAAAATGTATCAAATCTTAAGAAGCTTTTACTCTCAGGTAAATAAGATGCCTGTTAAATATTTAAAAACATGTTTTTACATTCTAAACTTCATAAAGAGAAGAAGAACATCTAAAGAGATTACTCAACAAAAAAAAATGATGTTCACTCAAGGCTTATGATCCCAGTTAAACCCTTGAGAGCAGAGGTCTTAATAAAAAGAGCTGCCTGCCTCTGCTCCACTGCGCTGAAACTCTTCCTGCAGCCTGGCAGTGGACAGGTCAGTCCTTTGTGTCCTGAACTACACAACTAGAGTTGTATGGCAGGACAAATTGTATTTCAAGAAATATTCTTTCAAGAAGTGAGTGCTTCTTCATAGGAGACCGCATTTATTTTTATTTTTTTAAGAAAACCCCATGGCACTGTTGAAAATGTTGTGCCTCAGTCCAGCAGTCTGTTCAGAAGTGGATGGACCAAAAATCTTTGTTCATTCAAGAGCCACAACACGCACACCACTTAGCTCGAAGAACTGCAGCTCTGGGAGTAGCTCACAAATGGGAGATGCCTGCAGCTCGTCTCCACCTACAGTGCTGGTGCTGCCTGGAGTCGGCTGAGCGTGTGGCTGCATCTTGGAGCAACCGGCACTCATCAGCATACGCAGCCCCGCTGCCTTGCTCTTCCTGGCAGCTCCTGTATCAGCACAGTCCTGCTACACTATCCTACACGATAGATAGACCTTGGCATGGAAGCAGCACCTGGACTGCTTTTGGATTGCTTTTTGAACTGCTTTTGGCTATGGAAGAATCTGGAGGACTTTGTTGTAGTAGATCTCCAATTTCTAAATAGCTAAAGTCAGGTGAGATTAATTCCACCACCTACCATCAAAGGTAGAGCTTAATTTACCAACTCTTGTAAGCAGCACCTTGTAGGCAGCCAAAACTGATTTGCCCATTTAATTGCTGTCAGTGGTCAGACATGGAAAAAAGGTGATTGCCCAGGTGAGCAGTAGGCTGGTACAGGTTCAATAAACTCCGTGGACAAATACACAGTTCTTGTGGGCTACAGTGGGTGCTGAATGTACAAACCCAGTATGCAGCTGTGCACACACACTTTCTCAATGTGGCTCCTAATGTTAACATAGATTTTTACTGTGAGATAAGAAATAGGAGATTTTTCTCACTTTTACTCCTCCCTTCATCAGAGGCACCATTTTCCCCTTTTGCATTAGCTGTGTCTGCCCTGAGTATCTGCATCAGACGCCTATTTGTGAAAGCAAGTGGAGCATCAAAGAGATTGGGAATATGAGGGCTGACTGTCAAAGGTGTTTTAAGTTAATGGTAATGCTAAAATCCCTAACGTAACACTGAAAATCCCAAAGAGACATAGATCTTTGCGTTTGATCAGGTTCATTCAGTATGACTGGAACAACAATAGCAAAGAGCGGGTGGGATGGGACATGGAGGAAGCACACCAGGTGGTGTGCTACAGCTGCAAGCTGGGGGCTAATGATGGGGGTGGTGGGAGGAAGGCAGAGCGAGAGCAGCACTGCCTGCCTGCACTCCATTACCTCCTTGTAAATGAGAACTCATCAAGACTGCCTGGATACCTTAAAACTTTCTTACGCAACACTGAACCCTATTACTTATTCTAACACAAGTACCTGTGAAATTGCATTAGGGCTCAGAACAATGATTTTATGCGATGAATTGATTTTCAAGAGTCTAAATGCATGGAATGAAGCGTGCTCAGTTAAAGAAAAAAAAAAAAGAGAGAGGAGGTAGGAATACTCAATCTTTGATCATCCAAATGCTGGACAGCAGCAATTAAATAGAGAGGGAAGACCAAGTACACAAGACTCATAAATTAGTGGACCCAGGAATTTAAAAAGCTGTGAACATGACCTTTCCTGTATTTAAAACCGTTTTCTATATAAAATATATTAAAAGCTTTGAAGAAGCATTTATGAGAAGGATTTTGAAGGTATTATTCAATCCCAAAGTATTACATGTTAAACCTTATTATATATTACTCTACTCTTCAGTACATATAGGGCCAAGATCTTATGCTTCTGTCCAACACTCATCACAAATGTTTGCAGGACTCGGCCTAGATGGTTGGATATAATATCATTAATGAGCCCAAGAACAGTTCACCTCGTTGGCCCAGAAAATGGGCCAGTGATTTACTTTAGCCCTCCAGATATTCAGTGGTGCTTTCTGTTGAATTTTACATTGATCTCATCGTTACAGAAGAATATGACCATGAACTATTGCAGTTGGAGAAGAATATCTATGTGTGGCTGTTATTTTTCAGCGTTACTAGTATTCCTGGAAACATCTTAACTCTCAATTTCTTCTCTCCTCACCTTCCTGACAAGGTATGCAATGAGACTCAAGAATTTCACAGGCTCTTCTGCCACGGAAGGGGACAAGAAATTAGCAGTTTTATGGTAAGTCCCATTGCGACGATGAGAGAAGCAGCTAAAATCTTAAGGAGGACTTTAAAAGTACTGAATTACTTAAGCAGCTTACAGAAGATCATTATTCTTGTTTTCCATTAAACTATTAAAGGATAACTAATGGATTTCTTCAGCAGCTGACTAAACATTTATTCTTCTAATTTATACTCTTATCAAGATGGGATTTTAATGCTTTTGACCACTTTTTTTTTCTTTCTCCATTTGCTTGTTTCAAAATCTAACCTTAGAACAGAAACTGCAAAATATAGGTCAGCATTTTTTTTTTTTTTTACAGTTTATAGGTTTCATTAAGCAATGGAATTAACATAATCCTTTCCTAATTACCACAGCTACCGATGCTTATCACTTCTCTACTTGAGAATGTTTAAACTAAAGAAGGACCATGCTATGAAGTACTCCAGATCTCTGATGGAATATTTTAAGGTAATCTTTATTCTATTTAATTTATTGATATGAAATGAAATTCATACCAGCACTGAGAGCTCTCACAAGTATAACAGCGTGATTTAAAAGTCCCACATTTAACCTCTCCCCTGGGAATTGGAGGCAGGATGGCTGCCAGGGAGTGGGGACAGAAGTGATTTGGGGGATTTTTGGATTAGTCACTTGATTCAAAGGACCATACTCAGTAATTCTACTAAAATAACATTATTCTCAACACCATGTAATGTTTATGCAAGTTACTGTAAAGGAAACTGATTCTTTCAAGATTTCAATGTGCAAGTGATTATGAACTGACCCTCAACGAACCATAATAAAGCAATTATTTAGGCTTTAGCTATTTAAATTTAGATTTTAAATTCAGTGAGATTTGCTGAAGTTTATTGCAGACTCAGAGATTTCTCCTTTTCTTTCTGTGGAACTTCAAATGGCCTTATCTACATCTTGAAAGTTTACCTTTACCTTGAATCGAGTGGAGATCAGCCGATTGTCATGACTCATGTTTTACTCTACCTTGTCAAGTGCTGTTTACCCAGTGTAAGAATGACAAGTCCTCACTGTTCCTAAATTAAGGGAGAAACAGAATCTTTCTTCAGGTCTGCCAAGGTTTTGATATTTATATTTTACTGGTTAATGCTGTTCGAAGCATACATTAATTCTTGCACTTTATTACTACATATTATTCTATAATTATGTAATTATATTGGTTTGTCAGCCCATCAGTCTTTTCTTGTTGTTTTTTTCAGCCTCTGTTAATTTGTTCCAGGCTTTGACATATTAGTACTGCAGACCAGTAAAACTTTTAACACTGCAGCCGTAATATTTTCAAGTAAATGGTGATAAAATGGTCCTTCTGCTGTAAAACTCCAGTACTATCATGCTAGCAACCACCATTTAGTCCTGACTTCCCTGGTGTCCTCTGTGTGTGTGTGTGTGCATCTCTGTAACTTCAGTAATGTTACTCCTGATCTTCTGCTTAAATTGAGGCTCTCTTGAAGTCATTAGGCGTGCCTCTGTTGTACTCGCGGAGTTTTCAGTCAGGGATTTGCAAAACGAATTGAATTTGAACTAGACACATTTATAGCCCCAGCATTTTCATGAAATGTATTCCATCCACTTCAGATTTTATCTAGGATGAATGTAGATTGCCTCTTAAAAAGAGGTTATTAGGCAAATCACTTGATAAACTTTTTCTGCAGAAAGTAATGATTTTTAAAAAAAAAAAGGGGGGAGGGGGGATTCTTTCTTCCCTTAAAGCCACTTTACTTTCCTAGCTGTGCAAATACGTACAATGAAGAACATATTACAACTCCCAGCATAAGACCATTTTATTGCATCCGCACAGAGAAGATGTCTTTTAATGTAAATGAAAATAAGAGAAAAAAATTTAAGACATAATAAAATAGACAAATCAGGAATGCTGGTTTTAGGCATCCAGTTGAAGCTGAGTATTTCAGCTAATGTCACTGTGCATATGCTGTGGGCACTGTAACTCATTTGCTAGAAGTAGTGTTTGAGTGTATACAGATTATATGTTCAGGATCTTTTTGTAGTAAAGGCATAGGAGGAGAAAAGAAAAGAATGGGAGCTATTAACTCCGTATTAGTTTTGTATTGCTGCACAATGTTCTCTGCGTTCACTAGCGAGGATCTGTAATACAAATGAAATGGATTAACTATTTGAATAGAGTTGTTATTCAAAACTTTGCACAATTTTAACTGTGAAAAGCAGCCCACTGTTTACAGCAGAGCTGAGAGGAATTTTTTGGCAGAATTGTTTTTCATATTTTGCCTCACAAATGCCACTTTGTCCAAATTGAAACCACTTGTGGACAGAACTGGTTCTGATTAATTTCCAATTAAAAGTTACAAATTGATATTTTTGACATTTCAAAACAGAAAAAAACCATTTAATCATAAAAGTAGTTTTGAAATTTAGAGACAACTTGGAGTAAAATATAACTAAATGATAAATTTTTAAAATTGAAGTCAAACTTTTTAAGGTTAGCAAAAATAGCGTCCTTTGATGACTTTCACCTGAAAGTTTGAGGGAGATTTTTATGTTTTTGAAAATGTGTTGTCAATAGTCATTGGCAAAAATATTTCAAATATTTTCATTGTTAGATAACTACCTCCATTCGAGATCTAGTCTTAATCTTGACAGATCTAGTATTTGTCTCCAGATACTGTTGGGAACAATCCCCAGAGAGCAGAAACTAACATCAAAACTGCTTCTTCAGCCCTTGAAACTTTCCAGGGGAATTTAGGATCTCCCTCCTTCTTACATATGAGCGGGTGGCAAAAATATACACTACGTGTGCTCTGTACTGCAAAACACCCCATTTCATGCTCACGTCTTTAATGAAACACAGTGGCATGCTGTACAGGAACATACAGGCAAGGCCACTGTCATGGCTTGGGCAGTGTTTTCTGCTTTGGTCAATACTGTTGGGCAAGTTTAGCTATGTTTTAGAAGTCAAGGGTAGGATTTTGCTCCCAGAGTCAGCTGCGTGACCTCAGGCCATGCCCTGGGCTGCTCTCTGCTCCTCTGAATCTCTGTGCCTCACATGCAAAATAGTGCTTACAGTAACCAGATGAATCTTGTAGTAATGACAGTAATACTTTGCAGAGAACTTGTAAAATTTGATTGAATTTTCACTGTGTGTGCTGGCTTCTTTGCAAGGCAGCTCAGAGTGATTGTTTTCAGAAAGCACACATAGATAGCTTCAGCCCTGATACTACCACTTTTTATGGGAACTAAGAAAGATACCACCCAGTCTGAGCAAGACTGGAAAAATCTGGGCTTTGGTGTTGCTGGGCAATCTCTTTGTACAGGGTTGTACAAGGTGCTACACAAATGTGAAAGGCAGAATGAGTAAGCAGGTAAGGAAAGGCAATTTGTGCAAATAAAATACATAGAAGAAGGCCATTCAAGCAGACCCGTACTAGAAGTTTTATTTCTACTACTATCTGAATCCCAAGCCACCTTCCCTAGCAACTTGGGAGGGATTAATTTCATTAAAGCATCAACCCAAATTATTTTTGTTTCTTATTAAAAGATTGCAGGTCCCCCTAAAGATAAGAAGTCATTAGCACTCCGAAGAACATACTTCATAGAATAAGTTTCGGTGGTAATTAAACCACTTCTTTGTGAACTACATCTGCTTTTACTGGAATTTACTGTATTCCATCTTTCATCAAGTGACTTTCAAGCTACTGGTTGGAACCTACCAATCATCCACCAGCCATTTAATTATGGGACTGATGCGCAGAGCTGTTCTGCTACATGCACTGTAGCTCTTGCAATGAAAACAGGGAGTGTTGAGCCTTGTGTCATCAGTATTCATGTACTTGCGTCACCTTTATTTACATTTTGGTTTTGTACTTACAGAACTCTTCAAAAGCCTCACAGGCCCCCTCACCTTGGGGCGGCAATGGAAAGTGAGTATTTTCTGCTGAGTACTTCTGTCTGGGAACAAGTGGTTCCGAGAGGGGGGGAAATGTTTTGGTGCCTCTAAAGGCAAAGGACAGGCCATGACTCAGTGGTTTGGGAGCTACAGGTATGTTTCACATATGTAGCAGGTAGAAAATGTTCTCCTGGGCTACAGAATTATCTTACAGCTGCTTTGGGCTTGTAGGGGTGAGGGGCTCCCTTTGGGCTAAATCAGGTACCCATGTGAACCATCCAGTGTGGGTGGGAAGGAAGAGCTGAAACACACCTTCATCCTTATGCAAAGCCCCCTTAAGTCTAAAATCAGCCGTGGTGGGTCTGTGCTGAATTCTTTGCCAGTTGGCTTCTCAAGCCAAATGAAGGCCATAAAAATATCTGTTAATTAGCTAGCAAGTACCGTGTCATTTCAGGAAGCCAAAGTAAAGTTAACCTTCATTGCAATGATTTTTCAATGATTCGTTCAGTAATGAAAGACCAATGAATATTTCATTGATATATGGTAAGTGCCGTTTAATAAAACTGAAGGCGTAATAGTGGTGAAAATGTGAAGGCACTTAGTCAACCAATTATCAATGGCTTTATACTAATGTTAAAACACCCTTGCCTCAGATATGAAGTCAGGGTAACGCAGTTATGATCTGCTGTTCAATGAAGGTGCATTGCTGCTGCAACTTTGCCTTTATCTTGCAATTTCTGTTGCCACCTGACACGCATCTCTCCTGCTCCTTTCTCCTGGCCACACGTACAGATACAGGTGAAACAAAGGAGAAGGATTTTACCTTCTTTATTTGCGCAGGCTGAATTCCAGGTGAAAATGATTATTGTTAATGGTCTGTTTCTGGTGGTTCATAAGAAGAAATGACTATTAGACACTCCAAGGAAACAAAGTAATCAAACTGTAGAAGGGATTGAAGTTTAGCACACAAAGAACTGAAGTTTTCAAACAGGCTTTGTTCTGAATCAGTGCAAACCCAAAAATTCCAACATTTTGCTTAAAGGAAAATATTGTACTAGATAATTCAAAATATTTGGGGTATATATACACACACACACACACGCACACGCACACCAAATAGACAAAATTATTTTGAATGTGTGTGTGTATATAGGTATTTAAGTATCGATTATAACACAAAATAAAGTGATGAAATACAAGATCACTTTAAATAAATACCAAAAAGGTATTTTAACATTGGTAAAGCAACTACTAAATTAAATTATTCAATATGTGCCCATTTTTCAAGGCATTTAAATGTCAGTGAAACCTTGTATTGCAATAAAAATACAGTAAGGTTTACATAAAGTTTTAGTGCCGAAATAGACGACTGGAACATTACACCTCTTTTGTTCCTTAAGAAGTGGCTTCTACCTAAAAAATTTCATGGAGCAAAAGTTATTCTTTTATTCCTGTCCTATAATAGACCCCTATGAAGTGTGTGCTCTGCAGGTGATGACATCTCCCTTGCTATTTAAAGGAGCTGATCAGGTGCCCAGGATTCAGAATCAGTGGGTTTTGACTGGAGGAGAAAATTCTTGTCCAGCCACAAGGCAGGCAGCAGAAACCCAGCATTTGGGTCAGCATCACTTCTAACATAACACCCAGCTGATTGGTCTCTTCCCACTGACTTTGGAGATAAGGAAGCAAAGCTCTGAAAGTGCACATCCCTGTCTTTTGTTCAGAGAAGGAAGCACTTGACATGTAAGAATAACTGAATACGACAAGGCCTTGTTATAACGGTGTTATTGTGACATTTATGACCCAAGACACAAAGACCACAGTCAGGTCTTCTGTCCCCTCTGTCTGGAGTCTCAGAAGAAAAGCTCCAGCTGGCTCGGCGTTGCCGTACATCTCAGGTGTCTCCTGGTGGCCCCAAGGATTGTCACGGGCCTGGCGCTGCCACTGGCGGCGTGTGCTCTGCCTTCCCCAGGGCTGCTCGCTCTACAGTTTTCTCTTATTCCCCTGCAAATTTGTACCAGCTGGGAAGAGAAGTCGCACACCACAGAGGAGAGACCAGACACCATCAGGGTATGGCACCACTGGTGATGGATCAGCAGCCTGGTTCAGAATGGGGAGACAGCAGGGTATTCTTAAATCTTTTTTTGAACAAAGCAAAACTTATCAACTGCCATGAAGTGTAGTATACTCGGGATCTCAAACCATCAAAAATCTCAGCTTGGCTTACTGGAATTTCTGGCCACTTTTGTTTGAAAGGGTTATGAACCTCTACAAAGTTGGCTTGAGTTCCAGGCTGGCAATGAAACAAATTTTCCCTGGTTTCATTACAGAAATGTTTCCCACCTCTAGCGACAGAAAGCACAAAATAGAGAGATTTAATAGACTCACCACAGCAATAATGGCTGTGCACAACAGGGTAAATCCAATGAACAATGTGCTTTATTTGGCAGAAGTGCGTCAGCTTGTTGTAAGTGGCTCTAACAAAATACTCCTGGTCTCCTCAGATACTTATGATTTTTAACTGCTCCCAGACCTAATCTAGTATAGTTCAGCTCTTCTGTGCATTAAAGACACTGTGGCGTGTCAAGTAACCGGGATGTTTTGAGACTTAAAAATAAAACGTTTGTGCCGTAGGATATGCTTAAACTATAACACATAAGCTGTGTAAAAAGCTACTAGCTGCTGAATTAACGTGGTCTCTAGCTCTGGAAAAAGAATGTATCACAGGAGCCTGTTGTCGAGCACGGGTAATAGCAAGGCACTGCTGGAAAATCTGCAGCAAAAGCTGTTGCCATAAATGCCTTTCAGCCCAAGGCTGTGCCGTGGCGGCAGTCTGTCCTACAGCACCTGCAAGGTATCAGCACAGCAGCTCTGTGCCCACACTTCATGGTCAGGGCCATTGGTGGTGGCTTGTAAAGCCAAGAGGAGGAGCCTTTCTGTCCTGCGGTTTGGATCAGGCCTGTAATGATTCTGAGTGAGCTTGGTGCTGTTGCACAGCATGAGGCATCAGTGGCCGCCTGTCAAGAGAGGGGTTGCAACATCCCCGTCCGGAGAGTTTTGGTGTCTTTGCTTCATGCAGAGAACGCCGGGAGCGTCTCAGCCCTGCGTTTCAAGTGTATTCCACAGCAAATCAAATGCATTTGTTTAGGTAAGTGGTTCCAAATGGGGACAAGAGAAGAGATTTTTGGAACCCTTAATCTTGTTCACTGAAACAAATTTTCAAAGAGAATAGCTGTATGTGAGCGCTCAGCGCTGCGCAGCTCTAAACATGAGCTTGCTGTGCTGACCTCTGCACTGCCTGCAGCCAGCAGGTGATTCCTAATTGCTGGTGTTAGAATTAAAGGAAAATCTATATTAGAACATTAGTGCTACACTAAGTAGGTAACTTAAAACACTGCTCTGTACAAAACTGTGTGGATGAACTGTAGGCAATTAGAAACAAATCTCCATAGCCAGTCTTAAAGAATCCTAAAGAGATATTCATAATCCTACAGTACCCTCAGCTCCTAATACTGCTCTGCAGGGTGCTTTTAAGACTTGCACTTTACTTATTGTGGTGACTGTATTTGGAGCAAACTGTCATTGTGATTTCCACAAAATGCTTTGATAATAAGCCAATATTGCACATTGAGTGTTTTCTAACTGCCATTGCAGCTACTGGCAGCAGGTAGAAAAATCATTACAGCTATGAGATACTTCTTTCTCTGAAAGATTGCTCTATTTTTATGATAGATTTTTTTTTTTTTAAATAACAGGTTCATTTGTAGGGAGAATTAAATCCCTTTTTATTTTCAGTCATCCCCAGTTTATAAGCTCTCCTTTCTCATAAAACCAGGAGATACTACTGCACGTTCTCCCCTGACTGGGGTGCAGAGTTAATTTTTGAAGTGCATTTAGGATGGCAGTAAGTGGTGTGTGTGAGGAGGACTCACTCTTCCTTTACCTCTCGCAGGAGCACAGAAACGCCATCGCCCATGTCCCTGAGCCCGTCCCCTGTCAGCTCTGCTGGAAGCAGCGCGGGCACCGCTGGCTCCTCCTTGGCGGGGACCATCACCATCCCTCAGCGCATCCACCACATGGCTGCCAGCCACGTCAACATCACCAACAACGTCCTGCGGAGCTACGAGCACTGGGACATGGCTGACAAGCTGACTAAGGAGAACAAAGGTGCCCCGCTCGGCTTCTTCCTTATCCCCTTCGGCTCATCAGCTTTAGCTTGCTTTGTGTTCTCGTAGGCATTGTTGGGAATTGGACCCAGAGCCACCACATCTAAGAGCACAACTGTGACAGCTTGAGCAAACAGACCAAATCTGCTTGCTGGTCACTGTAGCCAATGCGTATCTTCTCTTGTCAAGCACAGAGGGGGGATGTGTAACACACGCTGAACATGGGGTTATCAGAGCAGCTGGCAAATAATTTAGCAAACATGAGCCCCAAGTGATGAGAGCTTTTGAGCCTGCAAATTCATTCACAGTTTCAGCTTCTCATAGAGCACTGAGGTTATTTTCATACTGCTCTGTCACCCGGTTTAAGACTATTAAAATGCTAGCTAGGATAATAAGCAAACATTAGATTTTATGTTTATGCAGGGAGTCCGATTAGGAGATGTCCACTGAAAGCCATGACCTTGACTCTCCTATGGTTGGATTGCAAATCTGCTTGTTTATTCCTAACAACAAAATGTAAGTCTTCACCACAGTCATTTCAAAGGAGTTTTGGCAAGCAGTTTGTGACTGGGTTATATCAAGCATAGTGGAGTGGCTGAGATGTAACTAAAGGACAAATTTGGCCTATTGTCGGCCAGCTGTGAACCTCCCCATCATAATGTAATTATTCAGATTCCAGCTTTGGGCTTACACAAATCATTGACAAAGCTTTCTTTGACACTAGAGGTGCAGAGCCTAACTGGGAAATATTCTTGTCATGAATTGGCTCATTCTCTTAAATTATACTGAGATTTCAGATGGCTGACTTTTCCTGACAAATGTGCTCGCTGTATGCAGTTTGATCTTACTCCCATTAATGTCAGTGGCAAATT